TACAACTGCACTACACCACACTGCATCCAGCAGTTGTGGTAAGGTGACCACTGCAACCATTGCAACCACTCCAGAAAACACAACTCCAACCACCTGTCGGTCCATCAGTGGATTCGCTCTGCCATCCGTGATTCGCAGCAACCAACCTCTCCTATAGGTTTCCTATTTTTGAAACTTCCGCCACCGCCTCTACTGGAAAAAGTAGAGGCATATCCTCTCTGTGTTTTAAACAGCTTCTCTTCTCAGCCTTTTCGCTTGTGCTCTGAGCAGGCAACATGTTTCAACTGAATGCAACAAGTCAGAGCTTGAATTTTGGCGCGCCAACAACTATATTTGCAAACATTATTGCTTTCTAGATCGAAACAGCTGCAGAGCAGGGCTGTGAGATATTCATGTCATGTCGGCTTCAATCCCAGCCCCGCAGGCGAATGCAAATGAAACTTCAGTGGATGGAGTTTCCAAGGTCGTCACGTCGGGCGTGGATGAATCAAATGTTTAGAGATATGCTTAGTGGTCATATGGTATATTTTGATTTCAGACAGGAACCGTGAACGCATTGACCTGATGTCACCGATGCAATCATCCGGTTTTGATCACCAAAGCCAGCAGTAGCTAATTTCTTTTGGCTATGCGAAACACACGGCTTTGCACGCCCCCCCAGTGGGCGGGTCCTGGAATCAGCCGAACGGCACGGCTTTGCAAATTGTAGCTCACAGTGCAATCTTGCGTTCCCTCGCTCCACCAAACTCCCTCCGCTTTACTCATCCCACCTCTCTCCGCATCCCCTTTCCTCCATGTTCCCCTTCACAGCGCGCTTCACCTTGCTTTTTGTCATGGCTTTCCATCTTTACCATTCTTCACCCAACTTCCCAGTGCGAAATTTCGTTCGCCAACCCCTTGGACTCAACTGTAAAAGGACTCTTCTTTTCCGAGAGCATTTGCGTGGTGAGTAAACAAATTTGACATGATTTGACGACACAGTGTAGGTTTGTTGCAAGGGATCCGCATGTTTTGGTCGAACTTGTGGGAACTGGCGGTGCCTGACAACTTCTGCAAAGAAGTGCATTTTGATTACTCGATACCATGATGAAGCAACAGATTCGCTCTTTTATTCGACAGCAAATGATTTCATATGGAGCCGACAGAGTAAGTCAGCGAGTGCAAGAATCACATGCCCTTACTATGAAACACCCTAATATTAAATATACTAAACACATCCAAAAACCATTGTGAGTTGTGAGGTAGGGGATTTACATACATGTATTTGGGACTATTAAGATCTATTAAGGGGATTAGTCGAGATCAAATTAAATCGTTGAAGGACCAATGCACCAAGCAAGTAGCTAAGTAGCAAAGCAAAAAATGAACGGACAATCAAAACTGGATGGATGGAAGACACACGCAACTTCTTAACCGCAATGTCGAACTGCAACCGCGAACCCTTGTTTCTTTTTTGCTGCTGCAAGGATTGCAAAGGTAAACTTCTGCCCCATTATGTGGACATGCAAGTCAAAATTGGAGGTAGAGGTGTCCGAAGCCTGTGGAAGGTGCTATGTAGGGACTCAAGGAATGTTGTGAAGTGAAAGTATTCGCGGAGGGAAGTCAGTATTCAAGGTTCTGGATTTCAGCTTGCAGAAATGAAAACCAGTGTTGGAAACATACAAGGTTGATTAAAACCATGCTCCTCTTCATCCATGGTCGGGAGGTGTATCGAATTTTCCACAATCTGCGGTCTTAATCGAAAAAAAGATAAGAACACCTCCATTTTGAGCCGACCATGGCACATTGTATGATGCAGCCCGGCGCATACTGCATTTTAGAACCTCATCCTGCATGGGGGACGCTCCAGCTCCACAGCTAAGAGATCAGACAAGTTGGCAAACGTGAGTAACGCGAGGGATGCTGGCAATTTCTTACAACTCCAACTAGAGACCTAGCCTCTTTAAGTTGGAAGCAAATGCCTTTCTGAGTTTTTTCGATCGTGCTCGCGAGCAGGCGAAAAAACCGAAACGTTTCAGAAATGAGAGCTTGAAGGAGACCGCCCTGGGCAATCCGGAGTGTGGAACCACGGGAATTGTCAAGTCGTTTTTGGCACCAGAATGATCTAGAATCTAGAAACAAGAATTAGAGATATTTGCCAGTATTCTTTTTTTTTTAGATGGCAACAACTGCAATGTTCAGCAGGGCTTTGTGCCTTGTTGCTGCTCCGATCCCAGCCGTTGCAGGCGCTGAACAGCTCAGATCTTGCGCCGGGCTTAGATGAAGATGTTCAGTTTACTTGATTCAAAAGGCGAGCAATGACAACTTTGCAGTGGTCAGCAAAAAAGCCAATGCATTTGCTGCTGGGGTGGCTCGATCTAGTTTGAGCACAGCAAGTCTGGTAGATGGTGTACTCGAGAGTAGCCAAGTGCAAAACTCGTAGCAGCCCTGAACACCAGTTTTGGAAACAAATAGAGACGTAGCCTCTCTAAGTTGGAAGCAAATGTCTTTGAGAGCTTTTTTCATCGTGCGCGCGTGCAGGCCAAAAAACCGAAACATTTCAGAAATGAGAGCTTGAAGGAGGCCGCCCTTGGCAACTCGGAGAGTGGAACCACGGGAACTGTCAAGTGGTTTTGGGGCCAGAATGATCTAGAATCTAGAAGAAAGATATTTGCCGGATTTTGCCGGCATTCTTTTTTTCTAGATGGCAACAACTGCAATGCTCAGCAGGGCTTTGTGCCTTGTTGCTGCTCCGATCCCAGCCGTTGCAGGCGCTGAACAGCTCAGATCTTGCGCCGGGCTTAGATGAAGATGTTCAGTTTACTTGATTCAAAAGGCGAGCAATGACAACTTTGCAGTGGTCAGCAAAAAAGCCAATGCATTTGCTGCTGGGGTGGCTCGATCTAGTTTAAGCACAGCAAGTCTGGTAGATGGTGTACTCGAGAGTAGCCAAGTGCAAAACTCGTAGCAGCCCTGAACACCAGTTTTGGAACCAAATAGAGACGTAGCCTCTCTAAGTTGGAAGCAAATGTCTTTGAGAGCTTTTTTCATCGTGCGCGCGTGCAGGCCAAAAAACCGAAACGTTTCAGCAATGAGAGCTTGAAGGAGGCCGCCCTTGGCAACTCGGAGAGTGGAACCACGGGAACTGTCAAGTGGTTTTGGGGCTAGAATGATCTAGAATCTAGAAGAAAGATAGTTGCCGGATTTTGCCGGCATTCTTTTTTCTAGATGGCAACAACTGCAATGCTCAGCAGGGCTTTGTGCCTTGTTGCTGCTCCGATCCCAGCCGTTGCAGGCGCTGAACAGCTCAGATCTTGCGCCGGGCTTAGATGAAGATGTTCAGTTTACTTGATTCAAAAGGCGAGCAATGACAACTTTGCAGTGGTCAGCAAAAAAGCCAATGCATTTGCTGCTGGGGTGGCTCGATCTAGTTTAAGCACAGCAAGTCTGGTAGATGGTGTACTCGAGAGTAGCCAAGTGCAAAACTCGTAGCAGCCCTGAACACCAGTTTTGGAAACAAATAGAGACATAGCCTCTCTAAGTTGGAAGCAAATGTCTCTGAGAGCTTTTTTGATTGTGCGCGCGTGCAGGCCAAAAAACCGAAACATTTCAGAAATGAGAGCTTGAAGGAGGCCGCCCTTGGCAACTCGGAGAGTGGAACCACGGGAACTGTCAAGTGGTCTTGGGGCCAGAATGATCTAGAATCTAGAAGAAAGATAGTTGCCGGATTTTGCCGGCATTCTTTTTTTCTAGATGGCAACAACTGCAATGCTCAGCAGGGCTTTGTGCCTTGTTGCTGCTCCGATCCCAGTCGTTGCAGGCGCTGAACAGCTCAGATCTTGCGCCGGGCTTAGATGAAGATGTTCAGTTTACTTGATTCAAAAGGCGAGCAATGACAACTTTGCAGTGGTCAGCAAGAAAGCCAATGCATTTGCTGCTGGGGTGGCTCGATCTAGTTTAAGCACAGCAAGTCTGGTAGATGGTGTACTCGAGAGTAGCCAAGTGCAAAACTCGTAGCAGCCCTGAACACCAGTTTTGGAAACAAATAGAGACGTAGCCTCTCTAAGTTGGAAGCAAATGTCTTTGAGAGCTTTTTTCATCGTGCGCGCGTGCAGGCCAAAAAACCGAAACATTTCAGAAATGAGAGCTTGAAGGAGGCCGCCCTTGGCAACTCGGAGAGTGGAACCACGGGAACTGTCAAGTGGTTTTGGGGCCAGAATGATCTAGAATCTAGAAGAAAGATATTTGCCGGATTTTGCCGGCATTCTTTTTTTCTAGATGGCAACAACTGCAATGCTCAGCAGGGCTTTGTGCCTTGTTGCTGCTCCGATCCCAGCCGTTGCAGGCGCTGAACAGCTCAGATCTTGCGCCGGGCTTAGATGAAGATGTTCAGTTTACTTGATTCAAAAGGAGAGCAATGACAACTTTGCAGTGGTCAGCAAAAAAGCCAATGCATTTGCTGCTGGGGTGGCTCGATCTAGTTTAAGCACAGCAAGTCTGGTAGATGGTGTACTCGAGAGTAGCCAAGTGCAAAACTCGTAGCAGCCCTGAACACCAGTTTTGGAAACAAATAGAGACATAGCCTCTCTAAGTTGGAAGCAAACGCTTTTCTGAGCTTTTTTCATCGTGCATGCGTGCGGCGAGCAGGCAAAATTTCCGAAACGTTTCAGACATGAGAGCCTGAAGGAGGCCCCGTGGGCAACCTGGAGTGTGGAAACAACTTGTTTCTCAGGCAATGGTGTTTATTATGCAAATACGCAACATAGGGTTATTACTGTATTTTTTGTTTCGTGGGCATGCAGCCCTAACAGAAGAAACACATTCTTAGATAGTGTCGATGGTGAACCTTTATCAGAACGAGCAACCTCACTAGTCTGCTGGCGTAGCGACAAGAGGAAGCCACAAGGAAGCGTTCAACATTTCCAGTTCTTGCCGTTCACTCGGTTAACCTCCGCTGTCCCTTCCTCACCTCATATCTCCTTCCGTTCCGTTTTTGCGGATCAGTGAGAGCTTTGACAAACATGTCGATGCCAAACTATTTCAGTCTGTGAATTATGCTAGCCTGATCTGGCCAGCAGTGCCAGCATCAGAATATGATTTGTTTGTATATGTCGTGTTGTTTACTGAAAGGCGCTCCAAAATCCTACCAGTACAATTTTCATCCACAGACCGGGAATGCTGTTCCTTGATTCTGCTTGCATCGACATGATCTTTCAGAGCAAGCACTTTTGAAGAAGCCGGGAATCCCCAAGAAGGATTGTAGACAATTAGCGGAGGGAGGGGACAGATCGAAGCGCTTTGAATCGAGTTTTTTTTTGTCTTAGCAAGGAACAGATCAAAAAGGGGGAAGTGATGTTTCAGCTTCGTTTGTTGCTGCAGCATTTGAAACAGTTGCTTGGCATCATTGCTTGAAGCTACTTAAAGACCTTGACTGCTACCCTCAGGTGTGGCAGGATGTGGCTACTGCATATGATGTGAGTAGTGCAACATCCCTGCGTGCACAGGATGCACATGTTGAACAAAATCCTATTGCACGGCCTGCTTCTTTCGGGAATCCATTGGAAGCTCGAGTTGAATTGACCAGGTCGGCCCCACGACTACCCGGGCCACTTTCACCACAGCAGAGGCCGCCATGCTTCGGCATGGTTGCAGCAAAATCGTGGCGCACAGTGCGCAGAGTGCATCAAGATTTTGTTCGCAGAGAATAAGAGAATGTGAATGCTCAAACATGCCACATAATGTTCGCGAGTGGTCTTTGGGTGTTGTCGTATGTTCTTTTCCGTTATGAGTGATGTTCAATGTTTTGTCTTTAATCAGGGTTCTTTGAATCTAGTCTGTCTAGTCTCTGTCGAGCGCTGAGCAGGGTTTGCTGCAAGATGGTTCACTCAGTTTAATCTTTCTTTCCTTTTGGACAAACAGCACCTTTGTACGACTAGGACAAGGCATCATCCCCATGTTGTTTGGCACACCATGAGAATTTATTTCTGCCCCTGGTCCATGGATCTCTGAGTGTGTCATGGATGGCTTATGCTGCAAGGCAATTCATTACGTTTACTACCCGTCCGGGCCCGAGATGGGCAGTGCTGCCAGGTTGAACTGTGTTCAGACCAATGGGTTGCCGTGACGGGTTCTCCATTGTGTTTGAGACTGGGTGAGAACTGTTCCACGTGGCCAGTGAGTATGAGAATTGCATAGAATTGTCGGTGCAACACCATGCAGCTTCTCACCCAAAAGAGAGCTGGCTGCAGAAGATATGCCTTTTTCATCCCTTTTCATCCTTGTTCATTCTTTTCTATGCTTGATTTGTTGCAAATCTCAGCTTAGGACCAAGCCTCCATCGAGAAAGGCCGCTGCTTCGATCTTGCGGGTGGTCTTTTGCTTCACTTCAACCGTTCCACTCAGACAAACTTGTTTCCGCTTCAAGATGTAGAAAATCTCCTATCATGCTACACAGAGTCATGTTTCTTCTACTTGGAAGAATGGCGCCTTAAATCTCCCATCGACATTCACTTAAATTCACCATGGATGTTGCGCCTTCGTGCAGTTTCATGAACTGGATGGCCCTGACACCATCAAATTCCAGAAAGAAGGACAGGAGTCTGGGCCTCAGGGAGGCCAGGAAGACCTCGGCGGCCCACGGGGCCCACACAGGCTGCCTGCTCCCATGCCATGAATTGTTCCAAGGCAGGAGATCAGAGCGGTGGACACAGCTCGGGAAATCTATCTGTACCTGACCCAAAGAACACAAGATTCCTTAAAGTTTAAATAGCAATGCCGAAATCGGCTGTGCCCTCACCGAAGCCAGAACATTTTCACATATTTTCACCGAGTTAAAGGGGTCAAACATGCAAAGGTCATGATCATGTGCATGGAAGGGCAATGGCCGGAGCCCCAAAAGGGGCATTCTAGCCGGCGAGCGAATATGCTTGCCGGCTGGAAGTCTCACCTGTCACTGTAGCCATTTAGAAGCCAACGGTCAAGGTTTTTCTTGCGAGCAAAAAGTGCAACTCACCCTTTCCCGATTGGTTTGCGGTGATCTGTTCACAGCTGGCCAGCAATAGACCCAATGAGTAACGGGAACGGAAGCCTAAGCCGTCACTGTGTAAGGCATGATGCTAAGGAGAGAACGCTCTCCGGGCAATGGTAAATTTGGTAAATCGGTAAATTTCGCCGCTGGTAAATCGGTAAAGTGGTAAATTTTGCTGTGCCCGGGCAAAGGTAAATTCGGTAAATCAGTAAATCTGTAAATTTTAATCTTGCTTTATCATGATACAACTTTACGATACTTTACGGATTTCCCGTTTTACGGTTTTACCGCCTCTTCCTCCTCACGCTCCAGTACATTGATACATTACGCCTTTACGCATTTACCATCTTACCGCTCTACCGTCTTCTCCTGTTCACGCTGTCCACGAAAAAGCATAAATTTACCGCTTTACGGTTTTACTTTGGTTTCCTTCGCTTCCACACCTCCTTTACGGTTTTACGCTTTTACGGCTTTACCACCTTTTCCTGCCCACGCTTTGCACACAAAGCATGAATTTACCAATTTGCAGCTTGACTTCGGTTTCATGCGGTAAATTTGGTAAATCGGTAAACTGGTACAGTAAATTTCACCGCTCTTCAGGCCATGGTAAATTGGGTAAATCGGTAAAGTGGTAAATTTTGCTGTGTCCGGGCAAAGGTAAATTCGGTAAATCACTAAATCTGTCAATTTTAATCTAATTTTACTACCAATTTACCAAATTTACTAGTTTACGGTTTTACGGTAAATTTTGTTTACGGTAAAATTTGCAAATTTACCAAATTTACGGTTTTACGCTCCGAAAGCGGCACGCTCAGATCGTAAATTTACGAATTTACCGTTTTATGCGGCGTTTCTCGGGAACAATGGAATTTATATACCATTTTACGGTTTTACCGTTTTACGGCGCGCCTTGGCAAAAGACGTGCCTTAGACCCGCGCCTTACACAGAGACACCACAGTAGACCCCCAGCCAGGTGTGAGAAAGGATTCACAAAGGTGGCAGAGATTACATGAGTGAACTTGAAATGCAAAACCTTGCGATTTGGTGCAACAGGTGCCTTGGAGCCCTGACAAAATTTGTGGAAGAAGTCATCGAAATTTCAGTCAACTGGGCAAATCTCAAGGCCTTTTGTTCCGCCAGGGTCTCACCCTGCTTCGCATGATGTCTCGTGTAGATTTGTTGTATTTTCGCAGCATTTCAAGTTCTCCAGCAGCTAGGACCCCAATCTTCCCGAACCCCACTTGTTCAATGGACCTGGAAGCGCAAAGCCTATTGCGGCGGGGAGAGGATCGGATAAACTGGCTCAAGATCTTAAACTCAGATTGGATTCTCTAGCGTTGCTGGTTGTAGTGCCAAATTCATTGGAAACCTTCTTCAACAAACAGACGGACCAATTTTTAACGTTTTTTCTCCGATTGTGCTGGGCCTTGGCAGGACAGCATCGATGTGCGGCAGCGTTGGCGCACCCATCTTCCCAAAACTGCACGCTCTGGGAAAATGTGCTGGCCAACGCGGCGACACATCGACGAGATGGATATTAATATTCATGGTGGCAGTAGCAGCACGGAGAACCTCTTGAACAGCAGTGCCAGCCTTAGTGCCTTATGCACCGATATCCTACACTAGTACCAAAGGACATGATATTATTGAAATGCATTGACCCACAGGTGAGGCATTCACAAATGATTGGAACTCGCAAGCCGCTTTTCTTCAGCTGGCTGGGAACCATATGAGTGGTGTTTCGCTTCCAGATACAATGTGATCTTTGCATGCTCCATGATTTTCTTCGCTGTTTGGAAAACCCCGCTTGATGGCAGACAAACTCCAGTGCATTCAGACAAGGTGACAGTCGAAAGGTGGTGTTACTCATGTGTCCCATTGTCGGCTAGGGTCTCAGTTTGGCCAGATGAGAAAAGAAAACCAACGGAGTTGCAGGGAAAGCGCAGAAACTTCGGATTACTTGCTGCCGCATAGGCTACAGTTTGCCAAACTTATGACATTGATCACAGGATTCACATGCTCCGGCTTGAGCCAGTGTCCTCCTCTTCTGACCAATGCAGCCTTTTCTGGTGTCTGCACACAGGCTGGTCGCCATAGCGAGACTATGCAGCTGTTGAACTGAAAGGCCCGTTGGAATGGGGACAGAGTCCTAGCCACTGAGTCCTGGCCAGTGTCGAAAAGTGCATTCGCTGACAATTTGTGACAAGCAGCATGTCCCGAATGAACCATCGACGGAGAGCATTGCTTTTTTGCATCCATTACGGCCCACGTTCCAATTGTGCTGATTTTAGCTGCGCACACAGGCTGAGTAGCACAGTGCCACGAGAGTGGCAGGCATGAAAGCCAGTTTTGGAAACAAGGAAACAAATAGAATCAAATAGAGATGTAGCTTCCCTGTGTTGGAGGCACGCGTGCCGGCCTTTTTTCTGATGCGAGGAGACAAGCCAAAATCAGACAGATGCGAGCTCTCTCTCACCTGTTTGATTTTGATTTGATTGTTCGCATCAGAAAAAAGGCCGGGGCATTTGTTGTGAACGAGGCCGCCCCGGGCAACTTGGAGTGTGGAGCCACCAGCAATATCAATTGGTGTTGGCGCTAGAATGCTAGAATATGCTAGAATAAAGATATTTACAGGTGTTCCTTGTTTTGAGATGGAATCAACTGCAAAGCTCAACACTGCTTCATGCTTTGTTTCTGCTTCAATCCCAGCCATTGCAGGCTAATGTGAATTTGTGCTCAGCAAGAGGAGTTCCGGGCTTAGATGAAGATGTTTAGTGTACTGAGATTGTAGACCTATGGCATATATCTTTACAGCAGTCAGCAAGATTTCAATGAAGTTGCTGGCTTCTCTCTGTTCGAAACACATGCCCAGGCCTTTTTCTGATGCAAGCAAGCAAGTCAACGTGACAAAGATGCGAAACAGGAGAGCCTGAACGAGGCCGCCCTGGGCAACGTGGAGCATGGAGCCACGTGTTGGCCCTATGAAAGATCACTTCTTCCTGAACTATCCATTCTTAGGGAACTATTCTTGCGGAACTATGCTTCCATTTTCTTCCGGAACTATTCTTCGGGAACTTCGAACCCGCGGTTACGGAGTCATTCTTCGGGAACTATTTTTAGGGAACTATCTTCCAATATCCAGGAACTAACGCGGATCGAGACTCTGTCCTGGAAGTTACAACGCATAACCTTCTACACTACTTCTCATCGCCACCGCAAGTTTATTTTAAACTTCCCCCCCGGCCCTACATGCAAGATCAAAACTTGTACAAAACTTGGCTAGGCCAAGTTGCATTGGTCAATATTGGTCATTGGAGGGACCTCAGCGTATACATGAAGTTTGCTGCATTTCAATGCATTTCAAAGATTTGCCTAAGCATTTGGAGTGCGCAGTGCAAAGCACATCACAAACGGAATCTATCGTTCAACTGGCTTGGCTCTCACTTGGGGTCTTGAAAAGGAGCTTGCATTCAGCATTTGCTGGCCCGTGCCAATACACCAGGCAGAGGCTGACAGAGAAGCTGGCAAGTGCGAGGCGCGAGCATTTGATCCCGGCTGCACTTGACGCAAGTCAAAGTCTTGCTTCGACGCACTTTTGAACGGGAAAGGCAGACAACAATATGCAGATTTTCCTGTGGTGAGGGGCACACCCAAGAAGGTTTAACAGCTTCTAAAGTGGCATGGCTTGCACAAAACACGCTTACTTCGCAAAGTCCAAAATCGACCCAACATGGACTCAAAGTGGAGATCATGAAAATTCACTACCTTTTCATACCTTTGAGCGATGCGAAAAAAAAAGTCAACCAAAGGCGAAGCAATATTCTCTGTATTGCTGGGGGAAGCTAGCATGTGAACATGGCAAAAGAGGCAAAAAGCGTTTTAGAAAGCGCATTGTATTTTTGCTGTTTTTTGATCAAAAGGCCTTTGCTGAGCCTGATTTGAGCCGAAGTTGAAATCTTGTTGGCCTTACTCCATTTGGACCTATGTTGGGCCTGTTGGGCACATGTTGGGGCCATGTTGAGCCTATGTGGTCGATGTTGTGGCCTAAGTTGGGCCTATTTTGGGCCTATCTTGGCTATATAAGCGTTTTGCGACCTTTTCTAACGCGTTGAAACCACACGCTTCTAAAGCAACACCTTCGGTACGGGCGGATTTGTAAGATGGTGTGCGCCAATTCTTGGGCCCAATGTCTTCTGCGGACCAGCTTGCTGATTGCTCAAGGTGGAGAATTCACCTGCTTTCATTCTGGTTGACGACAAAGGTGCGATGCATGTGCGATGCATGTGCGATGCCTACGGAGCACAAGCAGAAAACAACCAAAATATATCAACATATATATCAACATATTTCTGTTGTGGCATAAATCATGCGCTCCTGGGAATGATATGAGCAGACTTCAGTAACTGCATTGCCTGTGCTGAAAGGGTTTGCCAAGATCTGAGTATTCCAGTTTCAAGCTTCCATAAGTTTCCGTATTTTTTTCTCGTTCATACTACTGTATTGCCTCGCGCAAAATCACGGCTGCTTCAGCTGAGGCAACGATTTTTTCACTAACTGGAACATGTGAAGTCTTCAGGCTGGGAATGACCTGTTGCTGGCACTGTCGGGCCAGTAGTAGTGACAAGCTTCCCAGCGCAACGATATCCAGAAGACCACAGCCTCCCAAATCTTGATGCAACATGTTGGCACAAGCGGTTAGGAGCAAGTGAGGAGTGTGCTATTTTGCCTTGACAAGTGACCAGATGCCAGGTATTGAGGAGTAATTTTGTGCTCTTTGGAGCACTTTTAAGATGTGTGCCACAGCACCACTTGACTGTCGTACTCGGCTGTTGAAGTCTTTCTGCGTCTCAGCCGGGTGCCAGAGACAGTTTCGTTTAATCTTTTTCCGCTGCTAGCAGCTCGCCCTTTCCCAATCAGTTTGCGGTGAGCTGTTCACAGCTGGCCAGCAACAGACCCAATGAGTAGCGCGAACTAAAGCCCCCTCAGCCAAGTGAGAAAAAGGATCCACAAAAGTTTGCAGATTATGTGAGTGAACTTAAACTGGGATTTGCTGCAACATTTGCATTGAAGCCCTTGCAGGATGGCATTTGTGATTCGCTGCAAGAATTCGTTGAAGTTGAGTCAGCTGGGCAAACGGGCAAATCTCAAGACATCTTGTTTCGCCAGCGTGCTTTCTCGCGCCCGGAGACATGGACCTGGAAGCGCAGAGCCTATTGCTGGATGGAGAGGATCGGTTCGAAACTGGCTCAAGATCTGAAACGCAGATTGGATTCTTCGGTGTTGCTGGTTGTGGTAGTGCCAAACTCATTAGAAATCTTCTTCAACAATCCGCCGTCGCGATTGCGAACGGTTTTTTACGACTGCGCCGGGTGTTGGCAGGACAGCGTCGATGTGCGGCCGCAACGGCGCACTCTTCCAAGAGCTGCGTTTTTTGTGGTGGCTGCGCCGACCTCAGCTTTAGCTCTTGGCAACTTGCGGAACTTGTACCACTAGGGAATTATTCTTGTTCGACTTTGTTTGGCATTTGGTTGATTTTTGCCAGTTGGAATCGATCATTTCAACGTGGGTGTGGGTCCCAATTTCAGGCCGAGGGGACCACACATTTTGATCCCCAGAGCTATGGTGTTGTACATTCTATTGATGGTCGGGGCGCTGTCCGGTTCGCGGAATGATGGTGGTGGCGGTGGTGGTGGTGGCGGCAAGATACCACAATGACGACCAGTACGCATCAGTAGGCATTATGAATGGTGAGAATGGGGGAGCAGTCGATGTCCCTGACCAAAGCTTGGAATCGGAGCTCTGCCAGTTGACTTCACCACACTGTAGCATGTCATAGCCTTGGGCATCAGAATCGTTGTATTATATTATATTATATTAATTTAATTATATTACATTATATTATATTAAATTATATTATATTACATTATATTACATTATATTATATTATATTATGTTATATTATGTTATATTATATTTATATTTATATTGATATTAATATTATATTATATTTATATCTATATTAATATTAATATTATATTATATTAAATTATATTATATTTTATTATATTATATTAAATTATTTTATATTTTATTATATTATATTAAACTATCTTATAATATATTATATTATATTATATTAAATTATATTATACTATATTATATGTTATTATATTATATTAAATTAAATTATACTATATTATATGTTATTATATTATATTAAATTAAATTATATTATATTATATTATATTATATTATATATATATTAGACACGTCTATGTAGTTGCTTTCAACACGGGTGCTTCTGTCTCTGTCTCTGTCTCTGTCTCTCTCTCTCTCTCTTGTTTGCTTGTTCTCAATCACGGGCGGCATTGGCCTGGATTCATACCTTTCATATGGGGTCTTGTTTGTCGTGTTGTGACAGTCGAAGGTGCTGTTCGTCACTTGTCTCCTGTTTGGCTATAGCGGCTAGGGTCTCAGTTTTGTTAGAATTTGGAACTGCACGTGAATAATCTTCCTTCGCGTTACTTGAGTTGGCCAAGCCCACGACACTGATCAAAAACCCAAAGGCTCCACAGCTGGCCACGAACGAGCCGCGACGACCTCACTCCGAGGATTCATGCAGAAGGTGCTGGGCTTGTGCCAGTGTTTTCCTATCAATGCAACATTTAGATGCATTTATCCGTTATTGATTTTTCCTGCGCACACAGGCACGCCGCCACACCGAGACCATTCAGCTTCTCTTCCCCAGCCACGCGGTAACCAAGGTTGTGAAGGCCCCTTGGGAGGGATGGGGACAGAGTCCTAGCCACTGAGTCCTGTCCACTGTTTGTCACAAAGCGTATTCGCTGAAAATTGGTGAAGGACAGCATTTCTTGAATGAACCATTGACAGAAAATTCCCCAAACAGTGTGGCCACACTGAGGGGTTCTTATGGTAACAGTTAAGGCCCGGTGTTCAATCGAGGTGGTATCCGGGGAATCCGGGGTGTCCGGCATTTTCCCTGTAAATTTCCGTGCAAAATGGCTCTTGTGAAATGTCCATGTGCATTTCAATTGCGCAGGCTCGCACAAAACAATGTCCGTGGGCGAGGCGTGCGGCATTTTCCCTGCAAATTTCCACAAAATGGCTCTTGTCAAATGTCCCTCTCCCTTTCGACAGTGCAGGCTCGCACGAAACGGTGTCCCCGGAGGTGTCCGCGGCCATTTTTCCTCAAAATTTCCATACAAAATGGCTCTTGTGAAATGTCCATGCGCGTGTCGCTCGCACACAGCGTTCTTCCCGGTGTTGGGATCGGTCTTCCTCCTTAACCTCATCATCTTCCTCCCTCCTCCTCCTCCTCCACATCATCATCATCATCAACATCATCATCACCATCCTTATCATCATCGTCATCATCGTCATCATCATCACCATCGGCACCATTCATCATCCATCATTCATCATTTATCATTCATCATTCAGCATTCATCATTCATCATTCATCATTCATCATTCATCATTCATCATTCATCGTTCATCATCATCGTCATCATCATCATCATCACCATCATCATCATGGACATCATCATCATCATCATCATCATCAACATCATCATCGTCATCATCTCGCCATCCTCCTCCTCCGCCCCCTCCTCCTCCTCCTCCCCCTCCTCCTCCTTCTCCTCCTTATCATCATCATCATCATCATCATCATCATCGTCATTATCATCATCATCATCAACATCGCCACCATCACCAACATCATCATCATCAACATTACTTAGCATCATCATCAACATTATGCTACATTATCCTTTTACTCCACCACACTGTTTGGGGTCTCTTGCGGGGGCAATATTTCTCATCCGCCATAGCGTTCCAATTTGCGAATGCTCGCTTCTCGTTTTAATTCATTTTAGTCATCCAATGCTACCCGTTTTTCGGGCGGCTTTCTCAAGTTTGGAAGGAAGAAGGCGGCAGGTTTTGTTCTCCCACTGAGTCACACATTGCGCACAGAAATTTCTGCATAAGAACGCTTCGCAAAGAACACCCTTGAAATCCATTAAGCCAAGGCAACTAAGGATAGGAAAATGGCGGGGGCAAAATCTCGGACCCCCTTGCCCATCTCACTTGGTTCGAACATCCGCCATCCAGGTAGCCCCAGCAAAGTAGCAACAAGGAAAACACATTCTGGAATGTACTGGAAACACATAGAAAACACGCGCAAAGTAGCGTCTGTTTCGGAAACAGATGAAGCAAACGCCCTCCTCAACCATCTTGCTCTTGCGAGCAGGCAAGTCAACAGAAACATGTGAACCAGGAGAGATTGAATGAGGCTGCCTGGCCAAGCTGAGTGTGGAACACGCGGTTTTGGCAGGTCCTGGGATGGATTTCCCTGGGGAGGCAAAAACGCACATTGTTGATCATTGTTGTATATAAGATTGAGCGCGCAATGGCGGAAATTTTCACCCCAGCCACTCCGTTAGAGTGTCTGAGTGGCCGGGGTGGATGACAAATTTCCTTCCACTAGTGGCGGATTAGCTGTATGGAAAAGTTTTTCGATACATACGTAACTCAAGCCTCAAGCCCCGTAAAGTTTCTCACTACACGCATTGTCTGTGGCGTGGCGGCGTCTGAATTTTTATTGACGGCATCTGAATTTATATTTTTGCTGGCTCCATTTCGGGATGATGTTACTTATTTGTAGGTAGTGTTTCAACGCGCTATGGACCAAACTACATTCGAATTCTATCATTTTCTTTTCAATAGTTTAGACCAATACAAAGAAATATATACATACATACGTATACACGTTGAACACAAAATCATCATAATTGATCTTTCGGTCAGTGTGATGCCGACAATGCTCTGCAAAACGAATTCATTTGTTGAGAACGCCACTGCTTTTACTTTTATCCTTTCGCCTGTCATTGCATGCTGGGCGCGCTGCTGTCTTCAGCGCTGTGTGCGGCAGCGCCTGTGGTGGAAGGCCATGACTGTTCGACGATTAACGAAAAGGATTTTGGAGCTCATCAATCCTAATGAAAGCAAAACGAATCAGGGTGTTAGTCACGTAGTTTTGCTAAAAGAAGATGTGACACATCATGCCTTGACGCACGTAATTGCAGACTTCTTGAGTCAGCCGTCAGCCACAGTAATTCTGAAATGCAGGCACAAATGGTTCTTGTGCATCGGCACGTAGGATATGACAGCAGGAAGTATGAGAAAGATTGATAGTGATATGCCCTAGCAGCACATCCAGTGGGGCCCAAGTGTGGATGATGAATGGCTCCAAGTAGTCTTTGAAGCAACGATGGCCGAACCCAGCCCTAAGAATCCTTGGGGCTGGGTAAAATAAGTAACTCATCTAGGACCGTTTTCAGCATCAACCCCCTTAATTTTCGTAGGTTTTGGAAACCTGGGCTTCAGCTAGTTTAACATCTTGTGGGCACAATCCTAGACTTTCTCCTGGCTCACAACAAAGGTGGAACAGTTCCATCAAACTAGATAAAATTTGCGTTCCAGGCTAGGTCTTAGGCGATGCTACTTGAAATCATGGAATCTCTTTCTGAGACAAAGGTTTGTCCACTCATCGCATTAAACCACACAGCTGTCCAGTACAAGTGTTTCTGAGAAACTGGATGTGCCTGCATTTCAGAATTACTGTGGCTGACGGCTGATTCAAGAAGTCTGCAATTACGTGCGTCAAGGCATGATGTGTCACATCTTCTTTTAGCAAAACTACGTGACTAACACCCTGATTCGTTTTGCTTTCATTAGGATTGATGAGCTCCAAAATCCTTTTCGTTAATCGTCGAACAGTCATGGCCTTCCACCACAGGCGCTGCCGCACACAGCGCTGAAGACAGCAGCGCGCCCAGCATGCAATGACAGGCGAAAGGATAAAAGTAAAAGCAGTGGCGTTCTCAACAAATGAATTCGTTTTGCAAAGCATTGTCGGCATCACACTGACCGAAAGATCAATTATGATGATTTTGTGTTCAACGTGTATACGTATGTATGTATATATTTCTTTGTAAACTATTGAAAAGAATTCGAATGTAGTTTGGTCCATAGCGCGTTGAAACACTACCTACAAATAAGTAACATCATCCCGAAATGGAGCCAGCAAAAATATAAATTCAGATGCCGTCAATAAAAATTCAGACGCCGCCACGCCACAGACAATGCGTGTAGTGAGAAACTTTACGGGGCTTGAGGCTTGAGTTACGTATATAATCGTATATATATATATATATCGAAACACTTTTCCATACAGCTAATCCGCCACTAGTGGAAGGAAATTTGTCATCCACCCCGGCACTCAGACACTCTACCTCACCCGCTCTGGTGGGAGTGACTGGACCAGCCACTCAGCCTCTCAGCCACTCTGCCGCGGCCACTCAGCCAGTCAGCCGCTCTGGTAGAGTTGCTGAGTGGCTGCTTCGATTTCGCGAGCCGTGTTGCACATCCACTCGTGTATAATAGTTCACAGTGCAAGCGCTGCATCCCAA